TGAGCTAGTTTACACCGATCGTTTGGTACGCGTACCAAATACTATATCGGTATCAAATCGCTTGATTCGCTCGATGTAAACGCTCGCGGATTACTTTAGTGCGCTCTGGTCTGATACTCCTGAATCACTAGTATCAGACCAAGTTGGTGCGCGTATCAAAATATTTTAGGGTGCTGTAAACGCTTGATTACGATTCGGGTCGTATTACCCCTGGTCCACAATCTTGCTTTAAGTAAGCTGTAAGCCTTAAGCCGTAAGAAATTAACCAATCACAGGCATTTATTCCCCTCACTCTCACCTGTAATTGGTTAATTTTTTACGGCTTAAGGCTTACAGCTTACTTAAAGCAAGATTGTGGACCAGGGGTTAGTCCCAGTCTACAATAGAGATTTAAGCCCTAAGCCTTAAGAAATTGACTAATCACAGTCGCGCATTCTTCTCATACTTGACCGTGATTGGCCAATTTCTTAAAGCTCAGGACTTAAATCATCTATTGTAGACTGGAACTTATACCCGGCATTCCTGCTAGATTGAGGTTAGAAGTATGGTTCAGTTTAGCATATTGTGGTAGAAGTTTGATTTTACTTTATCCAGATTAAAAATCTAACCTAACCTGTTTTGAGACGAAATGGTGTAAACAGGGATGTATCAAATGTTTAATCCGTACCAACTTGATGTGCGCACCAACCGATTTAACGGTGTAAACTAGACCAGTGACCTCTTGTAGAAAGAGATACCATGAGATACCAAGAGGACAGAAAAGGAGAGCACTCTCGCCCCCCCCCTTACCGCAAATTTGCCAGCCCCCTTGCCCGTTCTCCCACTTCGTGCTCGGTCCAGAGATTCTTAGGTCCATGTTTCGCACAGCATCTCTTGCGGCGCGACGTGTTCGTCGGTGTTCGCCTATTTCGTGAATTTAGCTGCTTATTTCGAACACTCGCGTCTACCTCCCTGCCGAAATATGTTTTCCCGATAATTTTCATTTCATTTTCACGAGAACGCGACAATCGCGCGACGCTTCTGCAATATCGACGGAACGCGTCACCGAAGACTCCGAGTTCCGCGTTTCGTTTGCGAGACTGAATTCCGTGCCCTGCGCGAGAAAGCGCCTTTTCAAGAGAGGAGAGAGGTTTATGCGCGTTTAAATGCATGCAATACCAATAAAAGAAGATTGAAACAATGGTCGTGATCTCGAGGATTTTCTCTCGCGGCTATGGCGGACTACGAGCGGCGAGAGTTCTACGTAGGTTACATTAGGTTAAGTTACTCGCCGAGGGGGAAACCGCTGACCAAAACCTTGTACACCAATGCCCAGTGGGCATTACTTAATCTTATTCCCCTTGTTTCATCTTATTTTATCTTTCTAATGCCCAGTAATGCCTCAAATCTGTGCACCACAATGTCCTCGGCGGTTTCCCCCTCGAATTACTCTCACCCGGCTTATACTCGACAACGTGAGTGCACGGCCTCGACGTCGTTTTCTCAAAGTACTTGGGGAAATTGCACAAACCCGTCTTTCAGATCACGCAACCAGGGCAAATTCCTCCACGGTCGCTTCAGACTCGGTACAGGAATCGCCAAGTAGCGATAAGACGCCGGGAGAAAACGTCGAGAGGCAGAAGCGAGCGATCCCGGATAGGTATCGGTTCATTTATCCGGAATTTTTACCGAACCCGGAGCCCAAGTATCGCAATTCGCTCCGGGAGAAGCTGGAGCGCATGGATATGATGGCGAGGCGCAAGCACATAGGGATACCCGAATTTTACGTCGGTTCTGTATTAGCTGTGACGTATTCCGAGCCGCACGCTCCCGGGAAGGTCAACAAGTTCGTTGGCATATGCATCGAGAGAAATGAAACGGGATTGAGGGCCTCGTGCCTCCTGAGGAACATAGTCGATAACCAGGGAATCGAGGTGCTTTACGAGCTCTATGACCCTGCAATACAGAAGATAGAGTGTCTGAGGTAAATATAGTTGACACTTTACGTAAATTATCTGGAAATATTTCTTGTCGACTGTATCGCCCGCGGCGAATATTCAGGCTTGAGAAGAGTTTGGACCCGCATCTACGGTACCTGCGAGACGCACCGCCAGAGTATAGCACGTTTCCCTTCGACATGGAACCGGAATATGTGGTGGAAGGTGCTCCAGTATCTGTAAGAGAGATTAAAGTACAGCTCAATCCTCGTCCATGGTTGGAGAGATGGGAACGTCAAGAGTTGAAGGGTGTGGAAGACTTGATACCGTTGCTTAGTCACAAGCGCATTAGAAAAGCCAAGGCAAGAGAGCAGCCTTGGGAGAAGTACGACCTGATGAAAACGTATCGGTAAGGGAGCAAAACTTCTCTCGCAATGCTACGAGTTTTTGAGACCGTTCGTTCTAACTTGCAATTCTTTTTCTGTTTACTTAGGAAAACCATTCCCGAGGAGGATCAGAATGAAATATTTAATGAAGTGTACACGAAACTGCACGAGATGGAAATTACTAGACGTAGGCAAAAACATAAGCGCGCTTTCGTACGTCCGCAGAAAACTGGATAAACTTTTGATCGGGTACAGCATTTTTCAATACATCTGTAAGGAAATAGAACGAAATAAATAAATATATTTGTTTTTTGTTACAATTCTGTATCTTCGTAATGACATCCATATCGCTAGAGTTTATTATGCTACTATAATTATCGTAAAAAGATTCAAGGGTTTCACAATTGATGGATTTTTTTTTAACAAAGATATATGTATAGAATTAAACATAAAAACAGAAGAAAAATTAACTTTTAGCTAATTTTACTTACATCTCGTAGATAAAGTTTAAATAACGTCGTATCTTTCACAAATTGTTTTTTTTATGATCAAGAAGTTTCTTTTTATTGGAAAGTGAAAAATATACAATAAAAACTGGAAAACTTGTTTAATCCTATATTTCTGTTCGCATCTCATTTTTGTAGTAATCGCTCTTCTGCATTTTCACGTACCACTTTAACACTTTGCATATACACACAATTCAATAGGTAAAAATCACAACGTAGCTTCTTATGCTAAAGACAAAATTTGTACCAAAAATTAAACTTCGTTAACGGAATCTTGTTCAAATGTTCACTTTTATAATTAAATATACGATATTGTAACATTGCTAAGTCTGAGGTTGAACTCACATTTTCGGATGGCAGTCAAAGTGTTAAAACAGATGAGTCTTCCTCTTGCCTCTCTTACTTGTTGGTTTAACGATATAAGAGATCATTGTAATAGGTGAAATTAAGTCGTTAGTAAAGTTACGTTAATTTCTTTAACCATTTTAATACAATATAACATTTTGATGAGCTGTTCCTTCGCGAGGGGCAATGTCGAGTACCATACCGAACTGTCTGGCACACAACTACGTTCTGGCAATAGATAGAAGACATCATTTCGCGTCTTGACGCTTTCAGGGCTGAAATAGTTCAATGCAAGAGTAGGTACATGGCGTCAAAACTATCGCAATAAATTAAACTTAATGTCTTTATCGTTCGTTCAGTCATAATATGTTTTACGTACCATTTCGACAAATAGAATTCGTACAACTTAACAGGACATCTCAATGGATTCTCTTCATTCTCTTGTTGTTCATACACTTTCTTTTTTCTTGAATTAGCTTCTTTAGAAAAATTAATAATTAGTAGAATGTTTTGTGTACCGATGAATCAGCATTGACACAATTTTTATGTACCCAACATACGAAAGATTATAACTAACCAAGAGCTGATTGCGGCGGATAAAATCTCAGAAGGACATTTCTTGAACCGGGAACTTTCCCTGCCACTGCTGCGGGTTGGGCTGCTGGATTGCGCTTCCAATGTTTCATGATATGAGAGAAGGAAAGTTGCATGTGCTCCTCTACTGTCTGAAAAGAAACTTTTATTAGTGTCGCAATAAAATATCAAATAGTTAAATGATTTTTACTAGTCAATTTCGATGAGCTCACCACGAGATTAAAATGTTTCGTGTTGAAGAACATAAGCGTGCTTAGCAGAACATGCGGGGAATGGGCACCTAATTGTTTGCATTCCCACAAATGCTCCTCCTCCACTCTGGTCACGATGTATTCTGTAAAATAGGCGACATGACGATATTTGAGAAGACAGAGTTGGTGAAAATAAAATTTACAATCACAACGGGTGATAAGACATACTTACGGGTGTCGTTGTATAGCACGGAGAACTTTTTCGCTACTCGTTTAAGCAATCTGTAAATTTCTCGTAGTACGAGTCCGTGAATATGTTATCGATCCTGTTATTCTCAAACAGGTACTGCTGTATTCCTAAAACGAATTCACGAAAAAATACTTGAGACTAAAACAAAGGCTTATGAAAGAGACATACGATATAATTGTAATCGCTGGCGCTCTCGCATCGTGCCAAAGTTGATTTTACCTAGGCAAAGGTAGTATATTGTATCGGGAGCGTAGTCCAAACCGTTCGGTTTTTTCACTTCCCTCACGAAGAGGCATAGCGAATAATTTAACTCGTCCGCGGTAAGTTGCAGAAGATCTGTCTTGAACAATTTTATCTTCCTCAAGGGTGTACTTTGTTTTTCTAATTCAGCATTCTTCCCCACCACCTGTGTACGTTTCAAATTTTCGTGGTAAATATATTTCCGTCTCGTCGTACAAATAAAAGCAGTTACGAACCCATTGCCTCCACGCGTTTACGCCAAACGTATATTTTAATGCCATATTAGCCATGTGAGCGCACTCCTCGGGGAAACAGTCCCTTAAAAACCTCCTGAAACGACACGTCCTTCACCCGTAGGTTTAGATTCTCGAGGCCCAAATTTTCTGCGAGCTCCTGAAGTAAAAACTTTATAAACAACCTCTTGGAGCTCGTCGTGTCCTCCTCGGTCAATGTAAAGCACGAGAGCACGCTCCATGATATGCAGTCCGTGAGCAGCAGGTGGGCAAAGAATTTGCCCACATTTCGTATCTTGTTTACGTCGAGGCGGTGTATTGTGTTATACGAGTTCTTCTAATGGCGTCACGTACATTTTGTTGATCGAGCAAAACCGGCCGGCCAGGAGGCCGAAGAACTTCTCGTACGTCCGCATCTCCGCGCAACAGTCTAGAAACATGTGGCACAGCTCGATCTCCTGCCCGGGCTTCAGCTGCATCTTCATCAACTTGTGAGCGCACTCCTCGAAGTCGAGCGAGGAATGTATCGTCAGGTATATGGTCCGTCGAAGCGCGGTCAGATTCGTTTCCGTGTTGTCGACTATCACCCCTTCCTTGCCCTTGGCCTGTTCCGTGCCGCTGTCGTGGTCCGAGCTCCCCTCCTCCTCCTCCTCCCCATCCTCGTCGTCGCCCTCCGAGTCGCTCACGTCCGAGCCAAGAATCTCTTTCAACAGCTGCTTGTACTTGTCCTCGGAGGCGAGGTAGTCCGGGTCCAACTTGAACACGTTCAATATGTCCTGTGCGTTCATCTCGTCCTCCAGTCTGATCAAGTGCGTCATCTGGTTCGCCTCCTCCACAAGGTCCAGCTCCTCCGGCACCGCCTCGTGATCCTTGAATCCGTCCTTCCTGATCTGGAACATCACCTCTATCATGTACTGGACTCGCTTGTCCAGCTGTCCCTCGTGCAGTATGTTTCTTAGCATCTCGAAGATGGCCTCGATGCCCCTGCGCGACACCTCCGTCAGCTTCATGCCGCACTCCTTCAGGAACGCTATGGCCACCTCGACGGAGTCGTCCGTCGGCGTTTCCAGCAGCAGAGTCAGGATCTCCAGGGCGATGATCTCGTAGGCCACGCGCTGGTTCACCAGATGCGCCACGAAGGTCCCCGAAGATATGCACAGCGGCTTGTCGTTCCTCTTGAAGCCACGCTTGAACTGCAGGACCAGCCGCTTCATCACCAACTCGCCTATGCTGGGAAACCTGGAGTTGATTATGGACGTGAGCGCGGCGTAGACCGGGGTAAACGTGGGGGACGCGGCCTGCGCCTGGATGATGGACCGCGCCAGCAGGCCTCTGCCGCGAACGATGTTCTCGTGCAGCAGCTCCCGCGTTATGATCCCGATGTTGCTGGTGTTGACCTTGTTGATGTATCCGTGAATCGACTTCTTCAGCGCCTCCCACGCGATACGCTGGTAAGCGGCGCCCGACTTGTCGGTCATCTCCGCCTGGAGCATACGCAGCTTGGCAGGCGGGATGTACGCGCCGCCGGTCCTCGAGGTGAGCAGATCCACGGTCCGCTTCTGCTTGGCGTCCGCCGGGTTTTCCCGCGCATTGTCCGGCTCCCCATAGTACCTGCTACCGATCTCCCGCCTCTCGCCGCCGTCGCTGTCCCCGAGATCGCCGCGATCTCCGCGGTCGTCGCGCCTGGAACCGCGGTGCAAGTGCGATCTCTTCATCGTATGATGATCTTTACAGACGCTCGGCGAACAACCACCAACAACCGCTACGTCCACGGTTAACACGACTGGAAGAAGATT